CCACATAAAAAAATCAAATTCTTTTTTTTGTTCTAATCACATGCGCATTCATTCCATTTTAACGTTTTCCTAGTTTTAAAAATTGCTTCGACTTTCAAACTCTGGCTCTGTCGGCAAAGATGTGTCCTCTCAGAAATGATGGTTCCTTTTAAGAATCATGGGTTTCATGGGTTCAGAACTTTTTTTTCAGATCTCTTGTTCATTTTTTTTTTGGTTTTAATTTTAGAAATCTATTGTTAGTCACTTTGAATAATCATCCTTTACTCAGAAATTATGAGGTAATCGGTTTATAGCTTATAGTCTGATCAGAAACTCATAAATGGTGTTTATATTTTGATATTTTCCATTGATGATGGTTTTCTACTTTTTAAAGATTCTAAAATCTAAAACTTTCAAAAATTGAATTTTTTAAAAATAATTTTTTTGATTCTTCGAAACTTCCGATAAAGCCCAAACTGTTTCCTCTTCCACATCTTAAAAAAAAAGTCTACTTCACTCAGGCAGATCTCTTATCTTCCATCACAAAAATCGGATGCTCCGATTTATGATCGGAGGTGTTTATTGATCTTGCACCCAGGGAAAAAAATTACACTGGGAAACGAGAACGGCTCTCACACAAACACCTAATCATCATTCACCTTGAGTATTTTTTTAGGATCGGTAATATGAAATGTCTTCAATGAGATATTTACGATGATAAAAAGTTTGACAGTTGTTCGAAATGATTTATTTAGTAGTTCTTAGAACAAAAAATAATAAACATACGAATTGATTTGTGACTCAAAAAATATTCTGAGCTTTACAAAAACATGATGATTTATTGCTTTCAGGTCATAAACTGAGAAAGTTCAACTAGGGAATAAATCATAAAGTGTCTGAGTTAAGGAACTCATATTGAGAAAACTCTGTCAAAGCCAAAAGTTCACATCTTCAGGTATATTTTCTCTCTTTCTGTTCTTCCCGAACCTCTCTTCTCCTTCTACTTGTCCATTGTTGTTATTGGCATTGAGTGACTACTCCTCCTCCTCCGCCTTCTTCTTCCTCTTCATCGTCTAATCTTTGCTATGCTTCTGCTCCTTTCCATAATTGCCTTTTGTTCTTCGACATCGTTTACCTTTTTTGGGAGAGTCTCAAAAGTATTCGGGTCCCTTTTTTCTCTCTACCTATCCTATTTTCTTCCCGTATCATATACTCATTTCACCCTTTCAGGTAATTTATGCATTCCCTTCTCCCACCCGACTCGATCTTCTTCATAACTTTTTTTTGCTAATCTAGATATTCGACACGCGATATATTTCCTCATCAAAATCATCCTTCTCATTTAAGAATAGTGCAAAAATTCCAGCCTAGTTTTTTAAAAGTTACCCACTCGACGTTTTGTTTTGACACAGTTAGAGACAACAGATGTTACATTTCTCAGTTTCACACAGATAGCAGTTAGAAGCCGCATCAGATTACAAGTGAACAGTTGAAAAGCTGAGAGAATTTTTTAAATGAACAAAAGTCCGAGTACTGCTAGCCACACAAGATTTTTTGTTTTAAGGAGGTGGAACAGGATATTTTTCGGAGTTTTTCTTCAAATTACGGTATGCATTCTTTCGTAACGGTTAACATTGTTTAGTGTAGCTCAGCCGCTAGCGGCGCGACATCTCCAGCGTTGGGTCCACAAGTTCAACGAGCTTTGTTTCGAAGTCCATGGAATTTTTCGTATAATATACGTTGTTGTATTTGGTTTAAAATTTTTCTGAACTTCCCTAACAATTGGTTCCTAGACGACTTTCTGATCCATTGAATTGTATTTTTTCCTCATCGGATTATTATAGCTACAATTTTTTCGCGATCTCAACCCTTTGCTTATTATTCCTTCTCTCATTTCCTTATAGAAATCTGGACGTATTTCCTACTGTATCTAGCCGTTTTCATTTTTGTTGTATTCTCATTGATATTCATTCCAAATGCATTTATAGCTGACATATCCATCCTTGTGTTTCCTCTATACTGAAATCCAAAATGCGTCGTTTTTTTGTCTTCTGACCCATTTCTTAGACCACCAACCATCGCTCCAAAACTAATATTAATCATCCAATTCCGTTTTGTCATTTTCCTTTCGGTGCCCTCTTTCGAATCACCCAATTTGCCAACCATTTTTCATCTGTTTTCTTTTTTCTTCTCATCTCTGATATGTCCTTCTGGTCAAAGTCCTTTTTCCACCCTTTTCTTTCATCTTTGTTGTGTGAGGGGATATATTCTGCTTCACGACGTCTTCAACTGATTTCGTTTTCGTTTTTTTTGAGTTCTTCTTTTGATCGAACACAGGCATACCCAACTTCTCGTCACAAATCGGATAAAATGGGAAAAAAGAATCGGGAGAGAGAAAAAAGAATAAGAAGAAGTCAGAAATTGCCCCGAAGGGCTTTTTTGTGTGATGCCCCGCGACCCACACGACTCCTTATTTTTTGTCGTCTTGGCTGGGGCTCTTTTTTTGTCTATCAAAGTTCTCTGAGTCCTCCGTTCCATGAGTTCTCCATATTTTTTATGAGTTTTCTAAATACGACTTGACGTCAGAAGTGCCTGCTGATTCTTAAGCAGTCTCAGCCTCCTGTGAGGGAAAATGGATTTCGGAGAAGCCTGTGCTGTCTGAAAAACTTGAAAGTTAGAATCTGATTCCACCTGTAAGTCTTAAACTTTATGTAATCTTTCGAGTAGCTCAATACAACAAATTGAATCGCGGATGATTCATCACAAAATCATAAACACTCTCATGGAACGGCACCCCTAAATATATTTTTAACTGGAAATATCTGCAGCTGGAAAATGTTATATCTGCAACTGGAAATTAGATACCGTAAAACCTGTATTAAAAGGGCCTCTTTAATAGATGAGTTCCTCTAATAGAAGGGTCCTCCAAGGGGGGTTTGTAAAAATAAAAGTGCCCTTGTAACAGAAGGGCTACCGTAATAAAAGGGCCCCTTGCAAAGAAGGACTCCCTCCAAAATGTGTCTTGAAATCAAAAAATTTCCGTACGTTTTCAGTGAAAAATATTCCAGAAATCTCACAATTTAACAGAAATTCGTCGAAACACAATTTTTTAAATAAAAAATTGCTCAATTTTGGTGGAATGAACAGATTTTCATGAATTTTGAACGAAAAATCGTCGAATTTTTTCATGAAAATTCCAAGAAAATTGACCGAAAAATAGAACGGCCCCTTCTAATAGAAGGACCCCTGTAACAGAATAGCCCTTCCGAGATACCTTTGATAATAGAACGACCGGTCCTTGTAATACAGGTTTTACGGTATATGGGTTAAAAGTTGTCGGTTTAGCGGGCGTCCTATTGTAGTGTTTAGAGTCTGAACAAGAAATACGCAAACTTGGTTTGTTCAATACAATTCCATCAAAATGTTTTCGATTTATCAAAAATATTGAAATCTATATTCTCTCTCGTTTTGAATCTAAAAACTTGTTTTTATCGATATCCCATATTTGGTTCCTTAAAATGTTTCCAACCAATTTTCCGAAGCGATAAAATTTCCCCCTTTTCCTCCGAACATCTCCAATCCTTGTGTTTTAATGGGTACTTTTCACCTGAAGATGCTCAAAGATCCTTGCAAGTTTCTCTCGCCTACATCAACTAGTCTGTCACCTTTTTTCTAACCGAATTATTCAAAAAAAAAGGAGGAATGAAGATGATGGTGATGACATGCAGAAGACGGAAGAGGAAGGAAGCCTCCCTTTCTCTCTTCGTTTTCAGTCGGATCATGCATCATTCATCCTCTATTTCTCTTTTCAACTCTGCGATCAGAGAATCCAAAAAAGAGACATGACGACTTGGGATTTAAATTTTTCTGGAGTTTTCACTTTATCTCTTTTTTCCTTTCTTTTCTAAATATTTTTCGTTCTGATGCATAGTATCTAAAATCCAAAATAAGACTCTGCGAGTTCCTTTAAAAGCGACCCGTTTTTTCTTTTTCTTTTGTCATCAGTCAACCGGCAACATGGCAAACACCGTTTTTATGTTTTGAATTCAGAAAAAGGAACAAGAATTTTTAAATCATGGCTGAAAAAATTGCAAATTGCAGCTAATATACTGTGTCCTAATAGTAAACTTAGAACTGATTTATTTTCGAATTGTTCTTAGATTTAATGTATTTTAGCTTTTTGAGAATGTGACAGAAAAAAATAAGAAAAAAAATAATAGTTAGAATAGTTACTGTAAAACCTGTATTACAAGGGCCCCTTTAATCGGAGGGCTTGGGAATTACTGACTTACAATTAATGATGTCATCAGTATGTAAACTAAATCGAGATCATTAAGAATCATAGCACAAAATATAGGGATTTGGTTTTTTTGCATTTACTCGAACAAAATGTTAAATTCAATAGCAATACAACATTTTGTAGACAAGGAATTTAAATTTCCAGATTTCCAGCACCCAAGCACACCAAATCCAAATTTTATCTTTCTTGGAATGTTTTTTTTTTCAAAAGAAGAGGTTTTATTAACTTCGGTTCGTTTCCCAAGCGATTTTTTTACTTTTTAAATGTTTCATTCCAAATGGAGATAAATTATGAACGACTTTTCAACTGTTTTCCTCTTTCAGTTTCCCTTGTGTTCTAGAAAAAAAAGAGACAAGAATAGATTCCGTTTCAAATTATGGTCCTTCGAAATCTCTCTTTTTTAGTCTTCCATCAATGTGTCAATCTGAGGTCAAATCCCACAATTTTCATGAATTTAAAATCAACGAAGTGCAATGAAAAATCAGGCGGAATGGTAGAAAAAAGACACCAAAAGAAAAGGAAACAATTTTGTAAAATTCTTAAGAAGTTTTATCGCTTTCTTTCAAATTTCTCCTATTGGGTTTTTTTCAAAGAACCGGTTCTCCTCTCTTACTCAATCTCTTCTACCAATTTCTCTCATTTTTGTTACATTTGAACTTTTTTTCAGAGTAACAAAACACTGAACTTGACAAAAATGCTCTAGCAATAACTTTGGAGAACGATGACTATTTCATACACTTTGGACGTTTCGCAGACCAATTTGCAAAGCTTTTTCAGTCTACTTTTACGATGGAGAGGAAGTGTTTGGAAGGTTTGTTCATTGTATTTTTCAAATATTTTTTGAGTTTTTGAAGTTAAAATCTAGTCAGAATTTATTTGAGTTCGGCACTTCAACATGTTAATCGGGATTATCGTACAAACGGCGGCTGAATATCTAAGAATTGGCTATAACTTGCGTCTTTAAACAAATGGGGAAACATTTGTGACAAAAAGTATTAAAGGCAATCAGCGCGCGGTTGAAATAGGAACCGTATACGGACCGCACGCGACCCGTTTTCAGAAAACCACAGCACATTATTTCGTATTTCTCCGTATTCTGTCCGTTCGCGAACTCCGTATCCGATCCGCTTGCGAATGATGGACAAACGGATCCGTTCACGAATCAGACAAAAGTTTAA